ACCGCAAAGAAGTCGATACATTATTCAAGACATTGTAAGGGTGTACAATATTATAGGTCTATTTAGGGAGGTGATAGAGAAGGAATGGAATCAAGCCGCTCTCTTTTGACTCCATGCTCCAAGCCACCGAAAAGTTATGCGCTACTCCGCAACTGGTGAGATAAAAGAGCGCATGAAATATCAGGATTTAGAATACCTACATCAGAAAATAGTATATCAGCAAATGTTCGCTGTCCCTGTCAATGATTTCTAATCAATTGTTGAATGTGTAATGAGTTGAGAAAGCGAACACAAACTTGTGTCATTTTAATACTTGTTTTCCAACTGCAGAAATATAAAAAGCACGCAAAAGCACGTATTAGCAAACTTAAAGTTAGCGAAGCTTGTAAATCATGGATTACATGACGGAACATTGAAACATGCGAAAATAATCGGATTATCCTAAAATATTGAGTTTTTGTCAGGATATAATTTTGTTTATACCCACTCTTGCACACAAATTAAAGGAAGGAGGAGTACTAAATTTGAAGAAAAAATGGTTTGAAGCACTATTCCCAATACAGTCCCCATATACGTTTATAATTTACACTGAAATTTTGCTGGTAATTTAATAAATGTGAAACTGGTGCCTGGCCTCCGTAATTCCCCGCAGTGGAAGAGCTGCTCGGAGCATGGAACTTTAAAGCCGAGTGGAATGTTACGCCTATGAATGTTATGACTACGGAAGGTGACCTACACAAATTGAGCAAAGCTTGAATTCTTCTTCATTAGCCATCATCCTACAAGAATGAACTAAGCGCTCGTCTTAACGTTAAGCTGGTGTGGATGGATCCTCTCCATTATTCAGTTAGCCCCTCCTCTTTTGTTGGAGGAGAGCTTTTTAAGTGGCCCGAAGTTCATGCCTGTGTAATGATATGCCAACTTAATTGGAGCTATCGCAATGTGTGTGTATAGACGTAATCTTCTTATCCTGGGTGTATAGCTAGTCTGTGGTTCACGCATCACTAAACCTAGGGAAGAATACAGTGACCCACTCGTCAAGTAACTATGGAACTAATCCGACCAACGAGCTTTACATCTCCGCGGCAATAGGACTTTTTTTCTCGGATCGTGAATCGCTCTACGTACAGATAGCTCTCGACGAACGGGTCAGTGCTTCGAATGACAACCACCGATTGAAAATACCGGACAAACTCTCTTTTTCACGCCACTCACCATGCACTGCTATAAGTGAATTAATTCTTTGCAGATACAATGAGACATGGTCTACGATCGATTGATTTCCTTATTCATAACCGATCTTTTAAAAGAAGATTGAAGAACTCGAACTGACTGTATTTTTTTTTTTTTTTTTTTTTTTTTTTTTTTTTTTTTTTAAATATTAAATAATATTGTATCTTTTTTTAAAAACTGTAATTTGAACTGTTTACGTATGGTCTTTAACGTCTACAATTACCCATGTGCCTGTTGTATGAAACCTGTTAAAAATAATCAAAAGGGATTGAAGTGTACTAAATGTAACCAATGGCTTCACATCATTTGTGCTGGTATTTCCTCCCAAATCTATGATGATCCGTCAGAGGATTTCTTTGGCTGGCAATGTAACATTTGTATTCTTAAGGAATTACCTTTCTATAATGAACTGGGTCTTTCCATTAATCCAGAGTTAAATAATGTCCATGTTAAAGCAAATAGCACAAGAATGGACACCTCTAGGGGTTTATACTACCATGAATTGCAAGGTAATGGTCTTAAGATTGCTCAATTAAATGTTAATAGTCTTCTCAAACATATTGAAGAAGTAAGGACATTTGTAAAATCAAATAACATTCAGGTTTTTGCTGTAAATGAAACCAAAATAGATGCATCTATTTATGATGATGAAGTCATGATTGACAATTTTAACTTGGTTCGGAAAGACAGAAATAGACAGGGAGGCGGGGTCGCCATATATCTTCACAAATCTCTACATTTTGAGAAACTAACGCATGAAACTTTAGATGATTTAGAAGCAATTGTAATAAAGGTGTATCTTAAGCTTGCAAAACCCCTTGTCATATCAACTTGGTATAGACCGCCCTCTTCAGACGTTGGAATCTTTAATTTATATGAGCTGTTTCTTAGCTTTATTGACATAACGAACTGTGACACAATTTTAGTAGGAGATGTAAACTGTGACCTACTGGCCAAACCTTTATCGAGTATGAGTAAGAAATATATGGATATCAATGATATGTATTCTCTAGTTCAAGTTAACACAAATGAAGCAACCAGAATTACAAATGCTTCTGCTACATTGATTGATCATCTCTTAACTAATAACTCCCCAAACGTAAAGAGTTATGGAGTACTTCATAATGGAATGAGTGACCATTCTATTAGTTTTTTAATTTGGAATGCCAATGTTTCATCACACCCCAGATTTATTAACTTTAGAAGTTGCAGCAAACTTAATGGTAATGAGTTTAGAAATGATATTCGCAACCAGAAATGGGAGTATATAAATCAGTGCAATTCAATTGATGAAGCTGTTGAATTATGGCAAAATCTGTTGTTACAAGTTGTTGACAAACACATGCCATATCGTTCAAAAAGAATAAGTACTAGGGGCTCTCCGTGGATGAATGCAGGTATTTATAAACTCATGAAAAAGCGTGACAAACTGAAACGGAGAGCGTGTAAACTTAAAGATGAAAAACTCATGTGTGAATATAGAGTACTACGTAATAAAGTTACTACTGATGTAAGAAAAGCAAAGAGAAAATACTACTCTGATAAATTCTCACTTTCTAGTGCTAATCCAAAACAGACTTGGAAGACATTAAAATCTATCATTCCAAATAAGAAACGTGACACGCCAATAGTTGCGCTTAATTCAGAAAGTAATGTTGATACTGCTAATCTTTTCAATACCTTCTTTGCTGAAGTAGGAAGTAATTTAGCAAAAGAAATTCCTGATACGCCTCTCCCTATAGAAAACAATATACCATTAATCAAGAGTTTTGAGTTTACCCTTGTAACCGAAAATGATGTGTTGGGAGTTATAAACAAATTGAAAAATACTAAATCTGTAGGTGTAGATAAAATATCAGTTTTTGTTTTAAAAGCATGTGCTACCGAGATTTCACAGAGTATTGCTAACCTGATCAACCGCTCTTTGTTGAGCGGTAAATTTCCTCAACAATGGAAAAGGTCCAAGATTATCCCAATTCACAAAAGTGGCGATAAGAGCTCTCCTTCAAATTATCGGCCCATCTCAATTTTGCCCTGCGTATCTAAAATACTGGAACGGGTTGTCCAAAGACAAGTTTTGGAGTTTCTACATGAGAACAATATCTTGTCAGCCGCCCAATCTGGTTTCAGGCCACGTCACTCAACTATTACCACTCTCCTAAAAGTAACTGATGACTGGCTTCACGCAACTGATAAGAAAGAGTATACGGGGGTTGTATTTGTGGACTTAAGAAAGGCCTTCGATACCGTGAATTGTGATATTCTTATTAAGAAACTCAATAACATAGGAATTTCTGGCACTCCATGTACATGGTTTAAAAGCTACATGTCAGACAGAGTCAGTAGGACACTTATTAATGCAGAGCTTTCTTTCGAATCAGTTATTGAGTGTGGTGTGCCCCAAGGTTCCCTTCTAGGGCCACTGCTCTTCATCGTATATATAAATGATTTAGTAAAATGTATAAAAACCTGTCAAGTTCAGTTGTATGCTGATGATACTGTTTTATACTTCTCACATCCTTCTATAGATAGAATTGAATTAGCTTTGAACTCAGACCTAGAAAATATGTATTACTGGATGTGCCAAAACAAATTAAGTGTCAACTGTCAAAAAACAGTTTGTATGCTCATTGGAAGCAACCACATGATATCTAAAAAGAATGTCCTCCGAGTTTCATTGAATGACATCTCCATAGATCAAGTTCATCATGTCAAGTACCTTGGCGTCTTAGTTGATGAAAAGTTAAACTGGAATTTACATATAGACAATATGTTGAAGAAAATTGGTCAAATGGTAGGCTTTCTAGGAAGACTAAGGCGATTCCTAAGTGAATCGGTACTGAAATTAATATATAGCTCACTGATCCTTCCGTATTTTGATTATGGTGATGTTATTTACAGTGCAGCTTTCAGGAAATATACAGATCGCCTTCAAAAATTGCAAAATAGGGCAGGCCGGATTATACTTAAAATAAAACCTGAATCTCATGTCTCTGTTTTGGAAATGCATAACGCTCTTAATTGGCAACTCTTGGACAAAAGAAGAAATCATCATTCCCTTGTTCTTATGTATAAAATAATGAATAATCTAACCCCCGAGTATTTAAGAAATGAATTTGAGTTGAGAACCCATTCCTACCCTTCCCGAATTGGAGCTCAAATAAAATTACCCAAACCGAGAACAAATTACCTCAAAAGATCATTCAAGTATAGAAACGCAAAGGCCTACAACACACTTCCTCCTCATATCAAATCTTCCCCTAGTGTTAATACATTCAAATCTAAGATTGCAGAACTGTTACAGTAGCACATGGTCCCCCTCCTTATTTTGTTATGATTACTTGTTTTTTTATGAAATGTTTTGTTTTGTTTATGTAATTGTTCCGGACCCCACGGAAGACCAGCTTTCCCATGTCGGGTTAGCTGAATGTGGGCTATCCATCGTATTTTATGCATTTTTACTATGTTTTTTATACGAAAATAAATACTACTACTACTACTACTACGCATCCAATTGTTACGCTTTAGAACTCACGCATGCGTTTGAATAAATTAAAAGAGTTTCCACTCCTTCTCTATCACCTCCCTGGTCTTTTCAATATCTCGGTCAAAGATTCACTTAAAGCCTAGCCGTAAGCACCAAGCAGATTTTTGTTTTAATGAAGTCTTCCCAAAGGCAACGTTGTTGACATAGAGCTTTACGTGCAAGTATGATTGCGGCTGAGAACAAAAAAAAAATCGTATTATCTGTAATACCTCTATCACATCAACTCCAACAAAAGTATGGGTCCCGGGAGATATCCCAAATCCTTGATCTTCCATGAGTGCGTGTGAACCGTATTCGTATATAAGCATCTGAAATCCCGCGGATACCCGGTAAAATGGATTGAAGTAGTACTCATATTGCTCAAGGTTTAGCCGAATTTGTAAGCCATTATTTGTACCTGGGAGAGAAAATACAAGTAAGGTCATTATTCTATGAATCATCGCTTTATTTAGAATTAGAGTCTAACAAGTCATGATGAAGACGCGATGGCTCAGTGGTCTCGTAACCGGAAGATCTCGCGTTCGAAACCAAGTTGATACACAAGTGAACTTTGACATTAATCCTCATTTAAGGCCGTCGCGTTGGTCCCCTGGCTGCTTACTTTAATAGAAGCATGCCATACTCTCTTAGTTGTCAGGTAAGAACAAACCATCACACCAAATACAGGAGAAGATTATAGTATAGTTTTAAGAGAACAGAATATGCAATGATTAAGTTTCATTTAGGGAAACGTTATGTTATCAAAACAAATGTTCAAGTTTAGAAACTAATATAAATGGAGAATCAATAGAATTAATAGAACATTAGACTTTTTCGGGTTTCAAGATTCATGAAAAACATCTAGATTTCTAACTTCTACATTGCAATCATCACCATTATACTTTCGCAATCTTTTCGTGTGGCGTGGGAGGTTACCACCCCATGCTATGCCCAATAGAATTCATAGTTTTATAAATTTCAAGCATTACCTAAAAATGTATTTCAGCCAGGGACGGCGATTTCTTTTCATGACCAGGAGATACATGTACGAAATGCGAGGGAAAATCTGTATTCCGTTGGTAAATCACGGTGGTACCAACGGAATACAGATTTTCTACAATATTGACTTCCTTTGAAGGATATAATATGCGAGTGAACGTAGCGACCGAGCGAGAAGATATTTTGCATTTTTATTAGTCTAAACACTACACTCTTGGGCCCTCCAGAGCCTAAAAGTGTGTTGCAGTCTTTAGTCAGTATTTGCTGTACATTTTTTTTCTTTTTAAAATTTTTTTTTTGGGGGGAGGGGGGCACTTTTTCAAATTTTCCGGGGGGGGGGGGGCGTGTCTCCCCGTCTCCCTGGGATCGCCGCCCCCGATTCCAGCATTACGTCCCCTGTTACTAAGGCATGTCGCAAAAGAGACGCCATTTACCTGACGTTGGACAACCGTATTTAAGAAGGGTGAGGTCTTTGACGCACCCTCAGTGACCTCTTAATACAAAATGTCATTACCAGAATGAATAGTGCAAACATTGCGTAAAGTAATTGGCGTATGCGCTATAACTGCATTCACATTTTTGATTGGCGCAAGAAATGCTATCCGAACGTCACCGCTTTTGCAGCGGGCCTTAATCCATAGCAATCTAGTTTCACCTTTTATAGACGTTTGGTTTATGTGTGTCTTCTTTTGATCCAGAATGTTCTGAAATATGTACATGAGGAAATTTGTATATGAGCAGTTAGTGCAAAAATCGCTGAAAAATGTAATCCGTTTCTGTTGCTATTGTATAATCGAAAATAATCATCGAAGTCTCTAAATTGGCAAGATAGTTTGGAATCTATAATACACCAGTTTACAGTTGTATCAGTGCGCATGCGCAGACAGTTGACCTCGGGTCATTGGCCCCGGAAGCGGGGCCAATAAGCTTTGACCAGTGGTATTTATGCGTAAATTAAGATTGCGCCCATGCAAATAATGATGTGTGCGCACAACGCAGCGCGTAGGCAGTGATATCATCAAAATTTGCATGGGCGCAATCTTAATTTACGCATAAATACATGACCTCTAGGTCATTGGCTTTGTTTAAAATGGCGCACACAACTGTAAACTGGTGTATTGCTCTTTTCGTGTACAATTGGCATTTTCGTGTTGACTTAAAAAAATGTCATTCACACTACAGTTTAACATTGAAAGAAAAGAACTACAAATAATTGTTGCCAATTTGAAGAGAAACACTGATTCCTTTACACCCTACGGAAACACTGACTTGCTATGGAGTAACGAGTTCACGTTAGTAATGTATAGTTTTACCAGGGCGTCTAATAGTCAGGGGTGGATTTCCAGAATCTGCATCGTTGAAGACAGTACAAAGCCCGAAGTCAGTTATCTTTGTCGTGAAGTAAGTATCGCGATCCAGAACTTTCACCTTTTCCCAGACTGCACTGAATATAAAACAGTAAGAAGAGAGCATAATCCACTCAGCACGAAATTAAAAAAAAAAAGCAGGTGGACACTCTTCATTGTTAATAAAATTAATATAAACCGTAAATAAAATATTTAAAATTAAGTATCAAATTACATGAAAATTAATACTCTATACAAGCACCAATTGAGATCATGTTTTACACTTTCACGCTTGGATTGGCGTATTCATTTAATCGTTAGGAGGTATTATTAAAAAACGATGCAGAAAAAGCGCAAGTGAAAATGTTTCATGAACTTGAGCTTCAGTATGATATTATTGTTCAACAATAAGAAAGATTGAGCACTGGATGTAAAGTGTAGTTTCAGATAAGCACAGTCATATAGCTCCGTTTAGTCTCTTTGAGAACGCCCCCTATCGTCAGAGTCCAGCAGCCTATAGCCTATGGACTTTTACCCCCCCCCCCCCCCAAAAAAAAAAAAAAAAAAAAAAATCGTTAACAAATATTTTTTTGTTTAAACGAAAAGCACATCCACCCCGACGTACGTTGACACTAGCTCTTTCATGGGAACCCTCATGTCCCATTGACTTTTGAAAGTTCACCCACCGTATTTTGATCAAAATAGGTCGCAAGCTCGCCATTGCATATATAACGCATGTGTAACAAGTCGAACTTTGGACGCAATTTACCACGCGATTGTAAGATTTTAGGTCAAGCACAAGAAGGATAAGAAGCATGAATTATCATAGATCAGTTCTGCTTGGTTCATTATGTCCACTTCAGCCCCACCGTAATTTTTCCATTTAGTATAGGCAAACATTTTGCCGAGGTAAGCAAAAACATGAATATTCATGACACATCATGGACTATTCGATTATTAACAGAGGGGTGCAATTGTGCACCACATCAAACTCCCCTACTTTCAGTCAAGTATTTTATTGTATTATGTAGTTTGGTAGGTTTATTTTACTAACTGTTTAATTATCAGATATCAATGATATTTAATGAAATGTATCCGAAATTAATATGATTATTGTTTACCTTTACAAAAAATACTTACAATTCAACTGTTTCATCAGGCCGATGTCCGTACTGTGAGAAGAGATCTGACATCGTGATATTGCTTAAGTAATGGAAATATGGGCTAGAAGAGTTTAGGGATTCGACCAAACTATGGTCGAAGTGAAATTCGTACATGAAGCTTTCTAACTGTGTTCCAGCTAGCAAGGAATACCTAGATGCATAATTAAAGAGTTTCAAAGAACCACGATAATGATTTCCTGTAATGATTACGAAAATAGAATAATAAAAATAATGCAAATGTTATCATGATAGTAATAATAATAATACAAATAATAATGATGATAATGATAGTAATACTAATAAGAGTAACGATAATATGTGTATTATTTTCATTCCGTACCCAGGAAAGACAGTGATAAAAATAGATCATGTACCTCGTCTGTTTTCTTTCACATGAGTGGCCGCAGCTAAACATTGAAAATAGCAGATATGGCCGAGAATTAGGCACCCAGAAATAAACATACAGTTCAAAAGGTAGGATACGTAACGTAAATGATATAATATATTTGCATTTAGTTAAATGATAATAATACTGGTAATAAGAAAAATAGCTCTGATATTAATAGTGATAAAGATAGGAATAAATGCTGATAATGCTGCTGCTGAGAATAAAAGTGATGACCATGATGATAATAATAATAATAATACTAACAACAATAATACAAATGATAACAATTTAAAAAAAGAATAACAATACTCTTATTAATAATAATAATGATAATAATAATAATAACAACAAACATTATAATATTAATAGGAATAGAGAGAAGAAAAAGAAGTAGAAGAAGAAGAAGAAGAAGAAGAAGGAGAAGAAGAAGAAGAAAAAGAAGAAGAAGAAGAAGAAGAAGAAGAAAAGGAAAAGGAGGGGGAGGAGAAGAAGAAGGAGAAGAAGAAAAAATGTCACTAATGAAGAAAAAAAACGACTATTTATATCGATGATGCCTACTTGAATGTGTTGAAGTTGCAAAATGCCACAGTTGGGAAGGTGAGGCTGTCTGAGTGGTTTGTATAAACGTCCACATTTGTAGGGTGACTTGATAAATGTTTGGCTCTATCGACGACTTGAAATAAAAGCAGACCAAGCGCCACCAAGATCAGAAGAAGCCAAAAGAGTCTAAAAATTAAGATATAAGATTTGAGAACTATTAATTGTACTCCTATTACTACTACTATTATTATTAATACTACTACTACTACTACTACTACTACTACTACTACTATTACTACTACTATTACTACTACTATTACTACTACTATTACTACTACTATTACTACTACTACTACTACTACTACTACTACTTCTACTACTAATACTATTATTACTACTACTACTAATACTACTACTACTACTATTACTACTACTTCTACTACTAGTACCAAAGCTACCACCATGGGCGTCAATTCTTTTTTAAATGTGGGGGGGGGGGGGGGTCACAGTGGAGTAAAATATTGAGTGGCGCGTCGCGGACAGGGGGATGTCTAAAGGAGAAAGTGGCCCCCTCAGAAGTTGAAAGAAAATCGAATTTTCAAACTTATTTGGCGCGATTTGGTACATACATTTTAGTAATATTTGACTAAAAATCATTAACTAGAGTCCATAGGATTTTTTTTCTTCCTGTAATGTGAATATCTTATGTCACTATTACGAAGACATATTTGCTATACAAGCTTTATTATTGTCGTTATTATGTGAAATGATTCCATGGAGTATCTTGGTAACACATTTAGGTTTAAAATTACTTACTACATGTATTTGCCTTGTTATTCATGATCACTAACATAACGTGTTGGTATGCTGTTTTGGTATATTTTAAATTATTGTTTCATCATTTTCGTTAAATATTGAGTGTCCATCCATTGTGACACTGTGTAATACAAAACAAAAAAGCAACTTGTAAGTTATGGCTGTAATTTGTAAAAAAAGAAACTATATAAAACTATATAAAAACAATATAAATAAAATGAATGTAAGTGAGTAATAAGTGACCATCTAGATATTGAATATTATGATAACTCTGAAAATCTCACAATAATATACAAGGTAACATTCCATTTACCATACAGTATGGTAACATTTCATTTATCAATAATTAAATGTCTACGAAATGCTCAGTCCACTTCCAACAAATAATAACAAAAGACTTTTTCATTTTACACATCTTCGCTTGAAATAGGAGATGACTATCACAAATGTTATGCCTAGGTCACATCTACGGCTAAGATACGGCAGCCGTATGCCCCCGAAATCGAGAGATACCTTAAGCAGCCTCAGAGGACCTGCGGTGGCCCAAGGGTAACCCTAGGGCGTATCCCAATCTGTACAGGCGGGTCGCCGTCGGACTATAACGCGGAGTTAAAACTGTTTCCATTTCTAAGTTTGCCATATCAATTAGACAATAAGACACACCGTAGCAATGCCGTAGAGCAGATTCTCGGCGACCATACGTCGATTGTACGGTGCCCTTGCGGCTACCTTGCGTCTCCCTTGGTATTCGTCAAAAACTGTACGGCCGCCGCAGGGCCGCACGCCCTAATGCCTAGGTCACATTTGCCGCGGCGGCCGTGCGGTTTAAAATATCTACGGCCAATAGCAATTATACAATGTAGGACCGCCGCAGCATTCCCACGGTCACATACGGTAGCGGTCAGATATGTTAGGGTAGCCACACGGCGTATTTTGAATTTGTGGAGACAGAAAATCTGCGACTGCCGTAATACGCCTTGCGGCTACCCTAACATATGTGTCTGTTACCGTATGTGACCGTGGGAATGTTGCGGCGGCCCTGTAATTGTTATTGGCCGTAGAAATGTTTGACCCCATGGCCACTGCGGCAAATGTGACCTAGGCATTACTACCATCACTACGACCACTAAGATAAGCAATCTATCTTTTGTAACCTCATTTAGAAAATTCACTTTAAAGTTGCTTGGTATGTGGAATATGATAATAATACGCATTTACTAAGCTTTCTATCGTAAAACTATTTTACAGTGTTTAAAGAATATCCATGATACTAGTGTACGATACAGCATTACTATAAAAAATCACGCTTTACCGTCGAAACTTCATTTCTGCCGGATTGAAGGCATATTTCATGCCCCCGATGCCGATGGCTCCGGGAAAAGACTTGTAGAAGAGGGCCCACCAGGACACTTTGTCCCTGTACTTCATGCTTAGCGGAATGTCCACACGGAAGTCCTCACCACTAACTGTTTTCAATCCAGTTCCATCTGAGCAGCTCCTGGTCCCGCTTGCGAAAGGTTTAACCTTGATATTTTGTAACGGCATGACGAGCCCGCAATGTTTTATCTAGTTGCCGTCGAAATTTTCTTTTTCAATGTTCAATAGGTTTATTTGTTGATAGGCTGATATAAACTGATACGCCTGTGATCATCAGAATTAAATCTAACGAGTCAGATTGAGAGCTACAGTCTCTGGTTTCGATCCGGGATTGACTACATCAGGGTACGGATGCTTGAAGATACTGTTATACAAAGCGAATTTGGAGAACAGGACATTGAAGAAATGGGACATATTTGTTTAAATGATTGAAGAAACGTTTTGTTACAATACCATCATTACCAGTACGTACTAAAAGCTATTAGATACATTTCTAATGCTAACTTAAAAGCTATTAATTAATTATCTTTATCTCTAGCTCTTGCTCTCTCTCTCTCTCTCTCTCTCCTACTCACTTTCCCTCGCTTCATTTCCCCCATTCTAATTCAATAATGTCTGCTGTATATGGGTTTTCACAATCATATTGTTTTTAAATAAATATCCGACCTCGTTTGTGTCGGAGTAAAAGAAAAAGAATTGTGATCAATGTATGTTTTATCTACAATTATGTCAATTTACGCCGCACTATATTTGTTCATCTCATACGAAACATTTACTGTACTAATTGTCCAGTCTTCGCAGGGACGCGTATTGCATAACAATGGTAAGGGAAGGCACTTACGATGTTTACTGATTCGAAAGTAGCAATATTGGCCATTGTATTCTGGGCGAGCGAACATCATTTAAATCTGGCATCCACTTTCATGTTGCAATTAGTGATCGCATTAAATTGAGCAAACTTTCGAAGATTCCAATTTGTATGCACAGAGCACAGACGAAAATGAGAGAGGGGGAATGGGTGTTAATCCCCCCCCCACACACACACATATATTACTGGGAGGGGGGGGGGGCGGCCTAATGGCCTGTACAAATCCCCTCACTCTGTTAAAAAACAAATGTTTTAAATTCCATCAGTTTTTCAAAGTTAAAGGTACTATGTTCCATTTGCAGGCCATAAAAATAAAAAAGTTAAATTCCAACTGCATTTGAAAGATAATACTAATTTAGTACCTCCCTAAAAAAGGTGGGGCTTGAAAATGTCTTCAAGTGGGAAAATAAAGACTATTAGTTGTCAAATCGACTTTAGGGCTATAGAGCCCAAAAGTAATAGTCTTGATTTTCAGACAATTGTACCGAATGGTCAGAAGTGGGTTATTGATGTAGACAAATGCTCATGTACCCTTTACAACTCTTTTCATGTATGTTATTACCAAAGAAGAAAAAAGCCAGTCAGTCACTCAATAGTGTCTGACAGTGAAGTTTAGCAAGTAAACGGGTTTCCTTGCATAATATGAATATGAGGACACTGCTAACGTTTAAATTTCACAAATAGGACATACATGACATATTCATAATACCTGTAAAGTTCTACAGCATTTGAGGTTGGCTGCAAAAGGGACATAGTACCTTTAAAGGGATAGTTGAGTTCTGTTTTCAGACCGCAAATACCTTCAAAGTGCATGGTTATTGCTCTTATTCTTATCTATGACATTTCTAGTGCCCTTTTAGGACCTAAAATTACTATGAACGTAATTTTAGACCCCAAAATGTGTGAAATTTAGCAAATACAATCATACCAATTCGGCTCCACTTTCAAAAAATAAGGTGACCGTTAATTAATTAATTAATTAATTAATAATAACAATACATGGGGCCGGCTGGTTGTGCGTAATATAACCAACACGACAAAGCCAACAAAAAAGCCAACATTGGCATTGGCTGAAATACAACATACATGTAAAAGGCGCCATTTCGTTTTTTCAACGGTTTTGTCAAATTATCTAATATTTGTGTTGGTACACAAG